CGCTGGGAAAAACTCCGGAATTGGGAATTATTCAGGGGAAAACCCGCTGGGAAAAATCTCGACAATTGGGAATTCCGGGGAAAACCTGCTGGGAAAAGCTCCGGAATTGGGAATTGAGGGGAAAAACCGCTGGGAAAAATCTCGAGAATTGGGAATTCAGGGAAAGAAATCCTGAAGGGACAGAATCCTGAAGGAAAAGGGCAAGGATCGGCCGGGTGCTGCTGCTTTATCCCCAAAGGATAAAAGGAGGGAGGTGGAGCCTGCAGAGATCCCGGGAAGCTCCAGATCCATGGAATCAGGTGGGACGAGGGGAAGGAGATTCCATAGGGATGAGATTCCCTGGGTTCCATAGGGATGGGATCCCTGTGGTTCCAGAGGGATGGGATTCCCGGGGTTCTGGAGGGACAGGATTCCCTGGGGATGGGATCCCCGGAGGTTCCATGGGAATGGGATCCCCAGAGATTCCATAGGAATGGGATTCCCTGGGGATGGGATCCCTGGAGATTCCCTGGGGATTCCGGAGTTTCTGGATGGACAGAATTCCCTGGGGATGGGATCCCAAGGGATGCGATCGTGGAAGTTCCATGGGGATGGGATTCCCCTGGGACGGGATCCGGGGGTTCCATGGGGATGAGATTCCCTGGGAATGGGATTCCCCGGGGACAGGATCCTGGAGATTCCCTGGGAATGGGATCCCGGGGGTTCCATGGGGCCGGGATTCCCAGGGCCAGGATTCCTGGGGCCGGGATCTGGAGGTTCCATGGGGATGGGATTCCCCAGTGATGGGATTCCCCTGGGACGGGATCCGGGAGTTCCATGGGGATGGGATTCCTGGGGATGGGATCCCGGGGGTTCCATGGGGATGGGATTCCCGGGGATGGGATTCCTGGGGATGGGATCCCGGGGGTTCCATGGGGCCGGGATTCCCGGGGATGGGATCCCAGGGGTTCCACGGGGCCGGGATTCGCGGGATCCCGGGGGTTCCATGGGGATGGGATTCCCGGGGATGGGATCCAGGGGTTCCATGGGGATGGGATTCCCGGGGCCGGGATCCCGGGGGTTCCACGGGACCGGGATTCCCGGGGGTTCCACGGGGCTGGGATTCCCGGGATCCCAGGGGTTCCATGGGGATGGGATTCCCGGGGCTGGGATCCCGAGGGTTCCACAGGACCGGGATTCCCGGGGGTTCCATGGGGCCGGGATCCCGGGGGTTCCATGGGGATGGGATTCCCGGGGCTGGGATCCCGGGGGTTCCACGGGGCCGGGATCCCGGGATCCCGGGATTCCCGGGATCGGGGCTCACCTGGTCCGTCGCGGCGCTGCAGGAAGGTGACGCGGCGCAGCACGGCCATGCGCGTGCGCTCCAGCCCGTCCTTGGTGCCGCTGCGCGCCGCCCGCATCAGCTGCGACACCTGCAACGGCACCGCGCCG